CCCCGGCGGCCTCCGCCCCCGCGCGCCGCGGCCTCCGCGCTCGCCCGCCCTTATTTCCTGAAGGACAGTAGCTCGATTTTGCTGGAATCCGCCATCGTGTCCCCGCCGGTTCTGGCTGTTCTCGAGGCCCCGCAGTTCTTTTCGCGCTGCTCTGTCTGCTGCCTCTTTCCCAGCCACCGTTTTTCCCCCGTCTTCCCGGGGGTCGTTTCTCTCTACATGATTTTGGTCTGACTCCTAAATTTCCTTTTGTCGCCGCTCACTTTCCACCCTTTCCCAACCCGCCGCACCCCCGTGGCTTCCTGACCACCGTAGAAGGCGGGGTCGGCCTGCCTTCGTTTCGTGGTCTTGACCGCGTCTAACGTGAAGGACACTTTGCTGCCCTTTCTCTCGAAAAGGCAACGTAACTGTTCCCCCTCCAGCTCCGCGCTTGTGTGGTGCCAGGTGATTTACTATTTGAGAGATTGTCGGAGACACACCTTTTCAGCAGAGGAAGGAGAGCTAACACTTGACCAAGAAGACCCCCAGGAAGTGTGGCTTGGTTGATCTGAGGGGGTGCGGTCTGCATCAGGAACGGTTTCTCAAAGTCTTTAAATCTTTCCTGGCATGTAATCCTTTTGACCCTGAAATTTATCATAATTTCCAAAAGAATGTAAGTGTTGCGTTATAGGTAGAGACAGTACAGTGTGAAGTTTTAACGTTGTTCAGTAATTTCGGGAGGAAAGCTTAAGTTGTGGGGGTTTTAAAAATACGTATAAATACAGGGCTAGCCTAGATAACAATCAACTAAAAATATTAAGATTGTGGTGTTCAGGGATCACTTTGTGACTGCATTAATCTTGGGGCATTTTATTCAATACACTGTTTTATTACTATGGTCTTTTAAATACAGTACTGCAGTTCAAATAAAAACAGTCTCATCTTTTGGACCCAGTTCTGTTACCTCTTGCAGCCACAGATCTGATCTTTGATTCTTCTAATCAGCTGAATAGTTGTGTTGATATTTCTGAAATACATCTGAAGGCTTTGAAGCAAAAAGATCTGATTTATCATTGTTCTTGGTGGCCTTCAGTATTTGAAATGCAGAAAGAAAATTCTGCTGACTGCGATTGATTGACTGACCTGGACAAGTGCCTGGTATAAATCTATCCTAAAGTAAATAAACTTGTTACTTTTATTTTTTGGTGGAGTGCTTATTTCTGAAATAGGAGCATGATTCTTTTTCCATGGCCTCTGATTTACATGCTTGTCATGGAGCCATGGGCTTTCTCAGGGTCTGTTAATTAATCTACTTGTTATTGACCTTTATCATGAAAGTTGTCAAAACAAAATGAGTAACAGCCTAGCACTTCAGACTAGCTCTTTATCCTGGTATTTCTTTCTCTCGCCTTTTGAATGGGCAGTTTCATGTCTATGGTTTTGTGTGCATTGTTGATTGGAAAGGCCGGATCATTTGCAGAGTGGAGAAGAACAAGCTTTTTCTCTTCTACTCTTGATTGCTCAGTAATTAGTTGGAAGGAAAACAACTTAACCATGCTGATGATGTTAAATTACGAAGCTTTCAAATCCAGGCCATAGCTCATTATTACATTTCTGTTTATTTCACATGAAGGTATTTTGAACTCTCTAAAATCTATGGCACATACTTTATTGATTAAGTAGTCCTGTAAGTTTAAAACTTACATGAACAAGTTAGGTGAAGAAAATGGCTTGACATTTTCCTGTCCACATCTTTTATAGTGCACTTAGTAAAGATATGTGTGGTTTGTTTTTTTCTTGTTTCAACTAAGGAGCTTCCCTCTTTACCACTGGCTAAGTGCGTTGTTATTTAGGGCTGGAATCAGGAACATGATTCCAGAATAAAAGATTGCTTTTAAAACTCGTCTGAGTTCCCTTTGTGTTTTTAAATCATTGATTATGCCGGTAGTTGGCTAATCAGATCCTTTGCTGCAGTGGTTTGCATTAGGACATCCTCTTGGGATGGAGGAGTTACGTACAGGGAATGTCAGATGTTCTTCATTGTGCTCACTTGCTTTCACTTAGGGCTGATTGTGTGCCCTTGTAACTCTCTGCCCTGTTTACCATTTACATACTTCGCACGTCATTGTGATGTCTTTTGCAGGGGAGAGCTGAATGAAATTCCCTTAAGGGCCTGACTTCTCAGCAGCCAGGCTCTGCAGGGGATAGTGCCTCAAACTTCCTCCCAGGAGCTGAGGTTACTGCCTCTCACCATTGCTACATACAGAATCCAGTTCCTGTTGTAGGAACTAAAATAAACACCTTTTTGGAAGAATGCTACGTAGCTATATATTTTATTCCCTGGGGCCCACCACCCCCTTAAAAAAAAAATCTACTTAGGAAAAAAAAAAATCTCTCTGAATCAGTTGCCTGGTGAATTTGGTGAGTCAAAGGCCAAATTGATGTTTGCCTGCTATAAATAGTTTACACAGCATTGTCTCTCTTCTGTCGTAGAGAAAATCATGGCGTCCGGCAGCACCAGTGAGGAGGAGCGCAGCCTCCGGGAGTGTGAGCTGTACGTCCAGAAGCACAACATTCAGGCGCTGCTCAAGGACTCCATCGTGCAGCTGTGCACTGCGCGACCCGAGAGGCCCATGGCGTTCCTCAGGGAGTACTTCGAGAGGCTGGAGAAGGTAAAAATAAGTGTAGGGGGAGACGAGATGACCCTGGTGACTATTACATTTAATACAGTAGAATGCTGTTCATTTGTACTTTCTTTGGGAAAAGGAATTGTGGCCAAATAAAATATTTAAAGCAGTTTAAAGGAGAAATGCACGTAAGTAGTTTGCAGTAACTTTTAAATTCTTAAATCAGTAGAATTTATCAGAAATGAATTTGTATGTGGAGATTATTTGGCCTCCAGTTTCCAAACAGAGTTCCTTGTAACAGTTTTAATTAATTGGTTAAATTGACCATAACAGATGAAATTGATGAGAAGTTGTACAACAGTTACAGGAAATGAGAGATTCTAATGAAAGAAGATGATGCTTGTCTCTTCAACAAAGCAAATAAGCTTGCTAAGCCTTATTCCATTGTTAAAAACCAGTGGAATGAAGCATGTGAGTCTAGTTTTTGTGACTGATACAGCAGAAATTCTGAATTCAAGTCCCTTTTATCACACAGTGTGTTCTTGTTAGGTGCTGTCAAGTTGGTTCAACTTCATAGTGACCCTTTGTATAACAGAATGAAACACTGCCCAGTCCTGCACCATATGGTGTAGAGCTAGAGCACATGGATATGTCAAGATAGACAGTAGTCAGAAATACATTTTATTTATTATTTTGGTTGGGAAAATTAATCTTTTTAGTGTTTGTTATTTGTTGTCATTGTGTGTGTGTCAGTGGGACTGAAGTTTATGTTACATGCTTTTTTTTTTTTTAAAGCAAAATAATTTTCCATCAAGAGCAGTGCTTTAGTTTGTCTCCAAGGCGTGATGAATGAAAAAGCTCAGATTGCTAAGTGAAGTTTGAGTAGTTTTATTTAATTTGCTGCTTTAAATTAGCAGGATAAATTTACAGATTTTCTTTGCATATCAAGGTTTAGAGGTGGTTCATAATGGTTAGGAACTAATTGGGGGGAAATTTCTCAGGTTTATGATGATTAATTGTTTTAAAATATGTAATTTTTGTAAAATTTCCCATTGATTTAGACAATTTCTTAATCGATTTATTAGAAAACAAGTTTGTGTATTCTAAGATTAAATGATTTGATGGCTTAGTGATCAGATACTGTTTCCTTGAAAAGTTGTTTGTTAAAGTTGGTGTTTAATAAATATTGGGATTAGAATAATAACTAAGACAAAAAATTCCCCAGGAATTTTCCTATCTTGGAATTTCAGTAGAAATTCTGGCTTTCTCTTGTTTCAACAACTTCATGGATTAGTGGAAGACGTGTAGAAGCAGGCCTGTTGATGGTCCCTGTTTTGAAATAAAGTATATTCCTGGAGATCTGGTTTTGAAATGGGTCACTGTAAGGTGATCCCTCTTCTCTTTGGACATCAATAGAAACCTTCAAATGAGGGGATAAAGTTGATGCATGTGTCTTTTTATAGGGAGTGTTGAATGAGTGGTGCTAGTCTTAAAGCTTATACTTACTATAGCACTGTTTAAGCATTAACTGAAGTTGAAAGCAATAAATAATTATAAAAATAATTTTCTTAAAAAAAAATTTCTTGCAAATGAGACTTTTAGATTTAATGTATATTGGCTTCTTTTCAAAACTCAACAGCCGTTGAATTGATTCCGACTCATAGTGACCCTATAGGATAGAGTAGAACTGCCCTGTAGGGTTTCCAAGGCTGTAAATACTTAGGAAGCTGACTGCCACATTGTTCTCCTGCACAGTGGTTGGTGGGTTTGAACTGACAACTTTTCAGTTAGCAGCTGAGTGCTTTAAACTGCTGCGCCACCAGGGCACCTGGTTGGTTTCTTACTGCCTATTAAAAGTCTCACAGCTTAAATTTTTTCCTGTAATTCAAGGATCTTTGTTCACTTGGCATACACTCTTGTAGCTTTGATTGAATATGGACACTTGGTCTTTGAAGTAAACTCTAGATTTTCAACCTTTTAATAGATCATTGTTCTCTATACGATAAGTGTTAGGTTTATATGTCTTCAAATGCGGTTACATTCAGGGTCAGTATTCTTCATCTCCTTCCTCATTACCAGGGGTCACATTTCTGGTACCTTCAACCACTCAGTAAGAAATGCACCAAAAAACTCATACTTGGTTCATCAAAAGTTTCTGTGCTCTACTGCAGACTTTAATCTGGAATTTGAGTTGTCTTTTACCATATACAAAGGAACTCTAGTGGCACAGTGGTTAAGGCATTTCAGTTGCTAACCAAAAGGTTGGTGGTTCAAACCCACCAGTGCTCTGTGGGAGAAAGATGAGGCAGTCTCCTCTCCTAAAAATGTACAGCCTTGGAAATTCTCTGGGACAGTTCTACTCTGTCCTGTGATGTTGCTATGAGTCGGAATCAACTGAATAACAATGGGTTTGTTTAGTTTTTTACAATGTATGTATATGTATTAGAACCTTGTCTGTGTGATATATCAGGTCAGAGGCATTGCGGTGGCTGTGACCGTTGAGTCTACTAAGTGCCAAGTACTGTGTGAAGCACTCTCCGTACATGAACCCATTATATCAAGTATGTGAGGTAGGTGATCATCACCATTTTACAGAGGAAGCAGGTAAAGCTCAGAGAAAAGTAACTAGGCTGTGGTCGTTCGGTGCAGTAGTCAGCTTTGGTGTCAGCAACATACAACTGCAAATTCCTGTGACTTCCTTTGATAGACTGTTGGTTCTTGGTCACGTGCAGCTCTGCTGGGCTCACCCTGTCTTGTTTTCAGTGCACATGTCTTGTTCTAGGGCGAAGTGGAAAGAGCAGCCACTACACAGATGCAGGGCCTGCTGTTTCCAAGGCAGAGAGGACAGAAGCTGGGGGGGTGGAAGGGGTGCGTGTGTCAGCCGCACGGATGGAGATGGTGTGGCTTGCTCTGTTACGTGCCAACCCCCAAATCAGTAGGGGGAGAAGTTTATACCCAGGGAAGAGTGGTGAGGGCAGTGAGGGAGTGGGTAATTGTGGAAACGTTGAATGGTAGAGATGGATTTTGAAACTGTGATGTAGAACATGATGCTGTTAATTACTGACTGGACTGGGATTTTTTTTGCCTTAATAAAGTGGAAGAGCTGAACAGAGGGGACTGACAGCAGAATGACAACAGCAAGAGAAAGGAATATGTAAGAAATGTGTATCAGAGTACATATTAGAAACTGACGGTCTTAGCAATGGCCATGAGTTGTGAGGAGGTTATAGTTAGGAATTCCTGAAAGTCGTGACAAAATGATAAAATCAAAATGCTTTTGGTACATCAGAATTATCTAAAAAATTCAGTTAGATGGATGTTACTTGAGATTTCCATGAAATTTTTGAAATATGCCAGTGATAAATTTGGGGGATAAGGATTTCTCTTCTCACATATACTCTTGATCTTTTGGGATACTTGATTTTCGTAGTTCTGTGTTAATAAAACCAAATCAAACCACTGCCATTGAATCTCTTCCAACTCAAAGTGACCCTTCAGGACAGGGTAGAATGCCCCAGAGGGTTTCCAAGGTTATAAATCTTTATGGAAGCAAACTGCTTCATTATTCTCCTGAGGAGTGGCTGGTGGGTTCAGCCTCTGACGTTTTGCTTAGTAGCCAAATGCTTTAACCACTATACCACCAGAGCTCCTTTGTTTTTTGTTGTTGTTATGTGGCCCCGAGTCTGACCTACTCATAGCGACCCCCTCCTTGGGTTTCCTTGGGTTTCCGAGGCAAGGCGGTATACGGAAGTAGATTGCCCAGCCTTCCTTCCGAGGAGTGGCTGGTGGATAGGGAATGGGAAAATCTTGTTGGTTATTTGAATACCAGAATGAAAATGAAGCAAGTTTCCTAAGAAATGTATTTTTTTTTTAATAGGTTACATAGTCACACGTAGTTCAGAATTTGGCAGGTACAGCAGAGTGTGACGCTGAAAAAGGTCTCTGCCACTCTGATGCCCTCCTTGATGCCCTCC